CTTGCAGGTGGTCTCCCATTCCCAATCAAGGTTCCCAGGGGTCTCCCATCCCCAAGCTAGGTTCCTAGGGGTTTCCCACTGCAACCCAGATTCCTGGTGGTCTCCTATCCCCAATTCAGGTTGCTGGTGGTCTCTCATTTCCAATCAAGGTTCCCAGGGGTCTCCCACCCCCAATTCAGGTTCTTGGTGGTCCCCCACCCCCAATTCAGGTTCTCGGTAGTCTCCCACCCCTCAGATTCCTGGTGGTCTCCCATTCCCAAACTAGGTTCCCACCAGTCTCCCATTCCTAATCCAGATTCCCAATGGTCTTCCCATCCTTAATCCAGATTCTCGTGGGCTCCCATCCCCTATTATTCAGATCCGTGGTGGTCTCCCACCCCCAACCCAACTTCTTGGTGGTCTTTCATTCCCCAACCCAGTTTCAGGCTTGAATCCTGGAGCCATCCGGAGTCTATTTCCCCTGCAAAGAATCTGTATTTTTAATACTGAATTTATTCGGCAGGACTGGGGAATCTGAGTTTGACTCAAGCTGGTTTAAAGTGAATACTTCTCTCTTTGAAACCCAATTGGGTGGTATTCATGGCTTTGGGTGTTTGCAATTGAGCCCTCAAGTGACAGGCACTTGCTCTTTAGCTGTTGCAAGAAAGGGCTGTTGCAATGACAAGGATAATCTTTGGTAAAGATAAGTGACCAGGTGCCCTCCAGGACTTAGAGGCCAACGCTGATAAGCTCCAGCTAGCTAGCGTAACTAGCATGGGAAATGCAAAACTTTTTAGGATTTATTGGAAATGCTGAAACAGACCTTTAAAATTGTCATTAGGGATCTGGCATTTAATTGGTGGTGCTAAGCCAAAATGTTGAGTTTGAGTCATTGTTCTGTGTGAAGAAAACCCGTAGGGCTTGTTCAAGAAAATGTGGCTAAACAAACATGGCTTAACATGCTTAACCCAGATGGGCTACATAATATTGTAAAAAAGGATAAGCTATAATCGTAGTGGTAACTATATATTTGCATTAAGGATTACTTGTAAATATGGAATAAAATAAGGATAGAAATAATGACCCACAAACTGTCGAAGATGGAATTGTTTTTAATCACTTTTTGATTTTTCTTCTACTCTTCTTTTTTCTCTTTCTCTCTTTCCTCTTTTAGTTCTCAACTCTGTTTCTTTTTTTCTTTTCTATATTTGTGTATGTGTTGTTTGTTTATTTTAATTGTAAAATTAATAAAGTTTTTTTTTAAAAAAAAGCATGCTTAACCC